GCATCACCCGAAAATCCCTTACCATTCAGGGCAATGTGTGCAGTGTGCACACTCAACTTCATAATCCGTAAACAATAATGCCGCCTCCACCCTCAACCACGCGGCCCGTACCGCCAGGTATGGATGGGCGCCTCTGGATGCAAATGAAAGCTGCATTCAATGACGACCCAAAAGCACGTCTGCACGCCTGCGTCCGCAACAACGACATATCCACGCTGCGAGAGCTCCTCCCTCTCTGCGGGACTGGTGAGCTTGACCTCAACTACTGTGACCTAGACTTCGGCTCTGCTCTTCAAGTCGCTGTATTATGCGATAACATGAGGGCGGTAGGCATCCTCCTTGATGCCGGCGCAAGCCCTTGGGCTTTCAATGGTTCTACTGAGCCGCAAACTTCGGCGCTTGACGTGGCGATTCAAACAGGCAACCGTGACATGTTCACTCGTATTTGCGAAAAGATGGCCTTGGGAATCGATGAAATTTTGCAACTTGTAACGGGCTAGACCCGAGAATAGCTCGGTTGCGCTCTCGCTTCTTATCGACAAACTGCAAATGGTCAATGGGACCCAACAACAAGCGAGATTAGCAGCGGCGAGCTCAGGAGCTCCTCGAGCTCCTCGAGCTCCCCTTTTCTTGTTATTTTTCTCTTTCTTCTTCAGCTTTGGAAATTCGTTAGAATCATCTAGTCAGTTGTCAATACACTCGCTAGACCGTTACATTATCCAAAGCTCCTTTCTAAATCCTTGCAATCAACTGTGTCGCGCGCTTCCGCGTGTGTCGTGACTGCGTTAGGAAGTACCTTGTTTGGTCAATTGATTAATTCAGTTGATGAAGATTTACTCGTAAGGCTATTGGGATAGCGCATAGAGTACGTGTTTGCGACTTCGTCTACGGTGTTAGATGAGAAGGGCAGGCTAAGAGGGACAGTTATAACCCTGATCTTGTGGAAGACCTCCTGGATAGTGAGGCACGTGAAGACTCTCGCAACGAGCAGAGTCCCTGCAAAGATCCTAGCAGACCTAGGTTAGCAGAAGGCCCTCCCGAGAGAGTGGCTAGATTCCCGTGAGCCTAAAGAAGCTACGGAAGATCCCTACGGTAGGGATACGTGAACGAACGAGTCGACCGATAGAATCACGACTTACGATGGAAAGCAACAGTCAGGAGAGCGGCTCGCCAAGCTGCACCACCCAAATGCTAGTTCAAATGATGAACCAGATGTCAGAACAGCTAAACACAATCCAAAGGGACCAGCAGCATATACGCAACGAAAGAGACAACGATCGCGAAGAAACAAGAGCACAGATCCAAGCCCTACAATCCGCAATTGCAACCCCAAATCACACATCCTCAGAGGATATCGTCAACCCAGTGCCCCAGAGACTGAGACTAGTACCACCTGTACTCAACACCACTTCCCCGCCTGCCAACTTCCACAGCCCGCAACCGGGTCAGTTACCAACTAAGAAGAAGCCAACCCTTCCTAATCCCCAACGATTTGATGGAACCCGGAAACTGTTCCGTCCCTGGCTCTTGGAAATGCGAAGCAAGCTCCATGTAGACGGACCAGCTCTAGGAGGCTCTTTAGACCAATTTGTCTATATTTACTCCCGACTGGACAAGACGCCGCAAGCTATGGCTGCCGCTTACTTCGAGAAAGGGGGTCTGGACGGGCTATCCAACCCCGCCGACTTACTCAAATACCTGTCAACATGTTATGCTGACCCCAACATCGAACAAAGAGCCCTAAGCCGACTCGAAACAATGCGGCAGGGGCCACGAGAGAACTTCGCAATCTTCCTACCGAAATTTGAGAAGGAATTAGCTGATAGTGGCGGAGCCAGTTGGGACGACGCTGTAAAGATTAACTCCCTTAAACGGGTTATAAGCGGAGAACTCCGTTCGCATCTCGCAGGACAACTGAGCTTGCCCACAAAGTACCCGGAATTTGTTAACGCGCTCCAATCCCTCGGAGCTAATCTCGACGAACTTCGATTCTATAATCGCAGCAGAGAACAACCAAGTAGTCAAGCTAAGGGCAAGAACCAGGGACCAAAGACTAAAAACCCATTCCAGACACCTACCGAAGAGGAAGCGCCCCCAGACCCGATGGATTGGGAATCTACAAAAATCGGGAAGGCAGGAAGCAAGCAGAACCCTGGCAAAACGAAAAGCAAAACAGGTTTCAGTTGTTATCGTTGTGGTCAACCAGGTCATGTAGCGCAGTTCTGCGAAGGAAAAATCCTAGATACGAATCGGTCACAAGGTCAGTCGCAGACTAGAGTCGCAAGGGCGAAAGTAGAGATTCCTAAGGATGTTAAGCCAAACGACAGTGAAGGAGAAGGCGTATACGAAACAGCATCTGATGGGGATTCGGAAAACGAATAGCTTCTGGTCAAAAGCGCCACCAGAAGCAGAAAACAGCTGAAGAAGATTGGAACGAGCAGAAGGATCAAATGGATAGCCCACCCTTCTATGTTAATATAGGGCTCAACAGGGAACGTTATACAACTGCCCTTATTGACTGTGGATGCCTATGTTATGGCACGATTAAAGAAGCTCTCGTCCAAAAATTACAGCTGCCGCGTATCCCTATTAAACCTCGAACACTAGAACACGTGGCAGGGTTCGTGTATGATGCGATCCAGCATGTTTCGTATATGGATATCGATATCGACGGCTATCAGAAACGCCGCGCTTTCTTCTATGTAGTCCCAGGCCAGGAAGACGATGTGATATTGGGAAGGACCTGGATGAACCAAGAGAACGTTGTGATCCACCCAGCAAAGAAGCTCCTGTATATTGGCTCTAACGACCTCTGGGTGAGGGAAAGAGACCGTAAGAAGAGGAAGAAGTACAAGCTGCGAGGAATGATGGCCTCCGTTTTTGCTGGTCTCGTACGGCGGGCCCGGCGACAGGAGCAAGATGACAAGAAAGATCGGCTACGAGTTTTCGCCGCAAGTATCAAAGATATTGAAAAGGCACTCGCCCCTAAGACAAAGTCAGACCCCCGAGAGAAACTCCCGAAACATTATCACGAATTCCTACCCGTTTTCGATAGAGAGAAGGCGGACCAGTTGCCGCCAAGCCGACCTGGAATCGATCATTGCATACCGCTACAGACTGATGACAAGGGAAAGGAGAAAGAACCACCCTTTGGACCATTATACGGAATGTCACGCGAGGAGCTCATCGTCCTTCGCCGAACTCTCACGGAACTACTAGACAAAGGATTCATCCGAGCCAGCAGCTCTGCAGCTTCAGCACCAGTACTCTTCGTAAGGAAGCCGGGAGGCGGACTCCGATTCTGCGTGGACTACCGAGCCCTTAACGCAATAACACGGAAAGACCGATACCCGCTACCTTTAATCAATGAGACTCTTCGGGCTATATCTAAAGCCAAGTGGCTCACGAAGCTGGATGTCATTGCAGCCTTCCACAAGATACGCATCCAGGAAGGGGAGGAATGGAAGACCGCGTTTCGAACACGATACGGACTCTTTGAGTGGCTTGTCACGCCATTCGGGATGACAGGAGCTCCCGCGACTTTCCAACGATACATCAACCGCACGTTACAAGACTACCTCGATGAGTTTTGCTCGGCCTATATTGACGACATTTTGATCTATTCCGACGGCTCCCTGAAAGACCATAGACAGAAGGTCAGGCAAGTACTAAAGAGACTCCGGGACGCTGGCCTACAGGTTGATATAGACAAATGCGAATTTGAGACCAAGAGCACGAAGTATCTAGGATTCATCGTGGAAGCTGGGAAAGGAATTAGAGTTGACCCAGAGAAGGTCCAGGCGATTCAACTATGGGAAGAACCTAAGACCGCCAGGGAGGTAAGACGGTTTATTGGCTTCGCGAACTACTATCGCCAATTTATCCCAATGTTCTCTAAGATCGCCATGCCCCTCACCGCCTTGACCAAGAAGGATGCCCCATTTACCTGGACAACACCCTGTCAAATTTCGTTCGATGAACTCAAAACCCTACTAATCGGCGCCCCTCTTTTGGCTCAATGGGATCCAGACCGAGAAACGATATTGGAGACGGACTCATCAGGTTATGTTGTTGGAGGATCACTGTCGCAGAGAGACAACGAAGGATTCCTACGCCCAGTGGCCTTCTTTTCCAAGAAAAACGCCCCTGCCGAGTGTAACTACTCAATCCATGATAAGGAGCTGCTCGCCATCATTCGCTGCCTAGAGCATTGGGACCCCGAGCTGCGTAGTGTAGTCTCATTCGAAATCCTTACGGACCACCTCAACCTCCAATATTTCACGAAGAAGCAGCAGCTCAGCGAACGACAAGCTAGATGGGCCGAGATTCTTTCCCGATATAACTTTGTTATCCGGTATCGCCCTGGCCGGCAGGCCATAGTGCCCGACGCACTCTCCCGGCGAGAACAAGATATGCCAGAAGGGTTAGACGACGAAAGGTTACAAGGACGCAGGATGCAGTTGCTCCAACCGGTTAAAGGGATGAAGGGAGCCTTCGCGGTGCATGCTGGAACCCCAGTTGTAGTGAAAGCTGGATATGTAAGCAAGGGTGACTCGGACCAACCAGAAGACCCTACAACTAGCCGTGACCCGGCAGTCGAGAACCCCTTTACGACTGCTGACCTACAAGAACTCTGGAACGAAGGACTACAAAGGCATAATCGGTACTGGCTGATAAGAGAAGCAGTGCAAAGAGGCGATAGGCGCCTTCCGTCGCAATGGGGGCTGCCGATCACTCTAGCGGAATGCTCCATTGATGCAGGACAACGGCTCTGTTGGCGAGAGAGAATTTGGATCCCTCAATACGAACCTCTCCGCACGAAGATTATCCAAGAAACCCACGACTCGACGCTGACCGGCCACCCAGGAAGAGATATACTTAAGTCTTTACTTAGCAGGAGATTCTACTGGCCAGGATTAGACGAGGATGTGAGACACTTCATGCGGAACTGCACTATCTGTGGCCGAAGTACCGTATGGAGAGAAAAACTACGAGGTCTCCTCAAACCGCTGCCGGTGCCGGACAGGATCTGGGCGGAAATATCAATCGACTTTATTGTTGACCTCCCTCCGACGAGTTCAAACGGCGCCACCAACATGATGGTAATCACAGACCGACTGTCAAAGAACGTTGTATTGGAGCCCATGCTGGAAATCACCGCCAAACGCACCGCGAAGACGCTAATGAAATGTTTCGTCCAGCACCATGGACTCCCGAGAGCAATGGTCACGGATCGAGGTCCGCAGTTCACAAGCCACCTATGGCGCAGCCTCTGTAGACTCTTACAGGTGCAACAACGTCTTTCAACTGCTTGGCACCCTCAAACGGATGGAGCAACTGAGAGAACGAACCAGGAGGTGGAAAGATACCTGAGAATCTTTGTAACTTACGCGCAGGATAACTGGGATGATCTTCTACCAGCAGCAGCTATCGCGCTAAACAACAAAACCGCTACCGCTACGGGATTAAGTCCTTTCTTCCTCACCCATGGGTACCATATTGACCCGATCCAAGTTAATGAATCTCTTCGGTCCGAGAATGTATCCCCGATAGCAAGAGCAGAAGCCTTGGTGAAGAGACTGCAGGTAGCGACAGAATGGGCCCAAGCCGCGATGGCTTCAGCACAAGAAACCCAGGAAAAGCACGCAAATGCAAAGAGACAACCTGCAGACCGGTTCAAGGTAGGGGATAAGGTTTGGTTACGGTTACGTAACATCCGATCTGAGAGACCGTCCAAGAAGCTGGACTGGATAGCCGCGAAGTACACAGTCACTGAGGTTATTGGTTCACACGCTTGTCGCCTAGACACGCCCACAGGGATACATAATGTCTTCCACGTTAGCCTTTTAAAACTTGCGGCAGATGATCCACTGCCGTCACAAGAATCAGACGACTATCGACCACCAGCAATCCTTACAGAAGATGGAGAAGAAGAATACCTCGTGGAGGCGATACTGGGCAAGAAAAGAGTTAGAGGAAAATGGAAGGTGCGAGTGAAATGGACGGGTTGGGCAGAGCCAACATGGGAGCCCCTTGAAGCCTTCCTCGATACAGAAGCGCTTACTCATTATGAGGAGAAATTTGGGGAAATTTTGAGATGATATATGGTTTCTTGCATTTTTACTGTTTTACTGCACACTTCGACCTTTGGAGAGGGGGGGGGTATTGTAACGGGCTGGGAGAGGGGGGGGTATTGTAACGGGCTGGGCCCGAGAATGGCTCGGCTGCGCTCTCGCCTCTTATCGACAAGCTGCAAATGGCGGGACCCGACAACAAGCGAGATTAGCAGCGGCGAGCTCAGGAGCTCAAGAGCTCCCCGAGCTCTCCTTTCCTTATTCTTTCTTCTCTTTCTTCTTCAGCTTTGGATATTCGTTAGAATCATCTAGTCAGTTGTCAATACACTCGCTAGACCGTTACATTACACTGTGTCGGATAATGCCTCTGTAGACTGAAGTCGCAGAGCTTGGAGTAATTGCTGGATGTCATAGCGTCGGCTATCATGACTAAACTTAGCCGAAAATTAAATTCGGACGAAAGGAAGTTTTTGGTATTAAAAAGAGAGCTGCAGACGGAGTCTGCAGCACTCGCAACAACAAGAATAATGATTTTATCAAGAAGCTTAGTTAACATGAGTCTCATAACGTGACAATATCTGGCTACGCCCGCTATCACCTCGAGAAGGCGCATCACATACATGTTCGAGAGGACTCGAAATCCCAAACCAAGCGCCAACTTGCCATAGAAAATGCATTCGCAAGGACGAGCGCCAACCAGATGCAGCAGGCCAGGGCGAATGAAGTGAACACCTTACGCGGTGTCATCAATGCCGATGCCTTTCGAGAGGCACAGATGCTCCTCTCTGCCCGTAGGTACCTGCCGCTGAACTTTGCAACGTGGCCAGAATACCAGGCACTTCTATCTGCGGTAAATCCCGCCGTTCAAGAGCTCCTGGTCGACTCTGGAAACACCGTGGCAGCGGACTTGGATCGGGCCTACGACGCGCATCAGGAATCTGTAAAGAAATGGCTGGATATGTCCCGGAGCCTCGTACACATTGCCATGGATGTATGGTCTTCTCCTCAGCGCAAGGCGTATATCGCTGTACACGCACAATGGGTTGACGAGGGATACAACCTTCGCAAAGCATTGTTAGGACTCCCAAACCTCCGCCACTCTCACGCTGGCGCGGCTATGACACCGCACCTGATGAAGATTATCGGAAATTACAACCTGGCGCACCGAGTAGGCTACTTCACTGG